GAGAATGAACGAGCAAAACTCCCGTGGCGAGTAGAAAGGCTTACAGTTAATGAAGAGCACTTCTAGATCTGAACAGCACATCTTCTTTAACACAGTTACATCTGTACACCACCTCTCATTGATGTAAAAGCATGTCCCGCCGCCGCGTGATTTCCCCATTGATTCTGCGTCGCGATCTGCTCTGAACAGCTGCAAGCCCGGGAGACTCAACGCGCTGTCCGGAATGGCGTCTTTCAGCCAGGTTTCCGTGAAACACAGAGCAGCAGAGTTTGAAAAATCCTTATTTGTCTGGGAGAGCAGAAGGAGCTCGTCCGTTTTGTCGGGTAGAGAGCGGCGGTTCGCCAGATGGATGCTAGGCAACGGCGTCCTGAATCCGCGCTGTCTGAGCTTCACGAGCGTGCCGGCTCGCTTCCCCCGTCTGCGCGTCCTGAAGCGTTTGATCAGCGCCGCAGCTCCCCCAACTACAATGTCCAGCAAAACATCAGAATAATCGAAAACCAGTGAAATATCGGGTGGTGTGTACTTCCGAATGTCCAGCAATTCGTCTCTGGTGAAACTGATTGCAGGGATATAACTAAAGACAGGACAAACTAACAAAAACATAAAAACAACTGCGGAGCATGCCACGGAGGCAGCCATCGGCGTCGGCGCCATCGCGAAAAAGTACAGCTGGAACAACAACACAGGCTGTATGTGGCACTCTGCTGTGGCAGGTTTTCAAAGGCCTCCTCCTCTTCCTCCTCCTCATTTTTTTCTTCCACTCTTTCTTCCTGTTCGGCCTTCCTCTTATCTCCTGCTGCTCTATCACTAGTAAGCAAAGGCCAGCGTCTCAAAGGATGATTCCCATTTGGAAAACTTCCAGACAGTCCGCCTGCTGCAGAGAGTCTGTGTGTGTGTGTGTGTATGTGTGTACCTGGTATTTATCACGTTATGGGGACCAAATGTCCCCACAAGGATAGTAATACTAGTAAATTTTGACCTTGTGGGGACATTTTTGAGGTCCCCATGAGGAAACAAGCTTATAAATCATACAGATTTATTAAATGCACAAAGTTTCCTGTAAGGAGTAGGTTTAGGAGTAGGGTTGGTGTAGGGCAGTAGCACATACAGTTTATACAGTATAAAAACCATTACGCCTATGGAATGTCCCCATAAAACATGGAAACACAACGTGTGTGTGTGTGTGTGTGTGTGTGTGTGTTTGTGTGTGTGTAACCAGTCGTGAAGAAAACGTCTTAAAGAAAAAATTGAGATGACTAACTTGTAATACTAGTCTAAGCAGTTTATAAAACAGACCCCTGTTTTCTAAATATAAATATTCACTTCACATTTAAGTGATGTGAACAAACCCCTCTTTTTGAGCAGTATAGCAGTAGTACTGATTACAATAGCAAACACCACAAATAGTAGCTGCAAATAATTATAATGTATGGCCTTACTGCACCTTTATTTAGTACTGAAGTGAGCTATTATGTGGAATGGTTACAAGTCGTCACTGTCGGGCTGAAACCTTGTATGTCCATATGTTTTGTCCGTCATTAGTACAGCTGTATTTGTGGCAGTAAGTGCATCTCATTACAGGTTAAACAGAATATGGTATCTCTTCAAAGTTTATGGTGAAACGCTCTTCTCCACTCCTCAGATGCATAAAACTTTAGTCTTTAAAGACAGTGTTTCTTCAGTAAAGGAAACACTGAACTTATTCAAACACAATACTATTTATTGGTTAAATAATTGTAAAACTCACAGAAAAATGTAAAGGGTGAGCAAAAAAAAAGATGGAATATGGCGATACAAGGTATTTGTTAAGAACAAAAAATGCTGATAAAAACAACAACAGTGTAGAGTCATGTAGAGTGAGGTCAGTACCTGAGATGTTGAGGGTTGAGGGCGACAGGGATATCGGGTCACCCAGGTTATTGAGAGGAGCCCCGTCCTGAAGCCAGATGACCTGCACGGGATCAGGAGGACCGTGAGCCACACAGCGTACACTCAGCTCTTCGTTAGCCACGACTGACAAATGCTGCGGGTCTACCGAGGAATGAGGGAGACCTGGGGGAGAGAGAAAGACAGTTAGGGAATCCATAAATATATCATTAATGCACTATAGAGGAGTCTACTGTTATAGTCTCAACCCAGCCCAACCTCCCAGTCAGCAATCAGGAAATCAATTCACGATATTAATTTGAATTTTGGAACAATGGATTTTAAGTAAGACATTCAAAAAGTGAAATACCCTCTAGTTGGATGTATCCCTCCATGGATAATGCCTCCTCTTCACCAGATGAAACCGCACACTGATAGGCGCCCATATCTGAGAGCTGTACCGCCTCTATCCTGTACGCAGAACGAGAATACTATTAATATGAAACTGCAGTCACATTTCAATAGATTCTTTTGGCAGACACTTTTCTCCCAGGTGAATTTCAGTGCTTTTAATGACCACACAGCGTGTGTGGTCATTGGGAATCAAACCCCTGACATATGCATTGCTAGTGGCATTGCACCTTTCAGCTTTAGTGAAAGCTCAAGGTTGTTATGAAAATGGTTACATGTCTGTGTGCTGGGTTTGATCAGTGCCGGGGGTCACAGGTAATCCATTTGATATGTTTACTGACAAAAGAGTCATATTAGAATTGAAAATATACCTGCTAACTGATCAGCAAATTGCCAGTGAGAAAAAGTGACATAAGCATACCTATCACACTACTTTGCATACAAATTCAGGAGGTATCATAATTCAGTTATTTTATTAGGCATTAATGCAATAACGTGACATGCTAGTTTGAAAAGTTTCTGCAACACTGATCATGGACAGAGGAAACTGAAAGAACAGTTAAATGGAGAGGCAGTGTAAATGTCCTCATTAAACAGGTATTCCTACTTGAGTTCACTAAAAACCAGCCAGCTGTTCTCATCTACAGGGAGCTGCATCTGGTTGGTGTCTGCAAACTCCAGCGACTGTCCCTCCTTCAGCCAGAGCACATCCAGGGGCCCCTGGCCCTCGCCGTCTACGCGCAGGATGCACTGAACAGCCACTAGCTTCCCAAGAGAGGAGGTCACGTTCTTAGGGCTCTCCATGAAACGCAAACCTACACAGTGCAGGAAAATTGTGGAAAAACCATTAAGTCAAAGGTAAAGTTGAGTTTATCACTTAAGCTTCCATAACCTGTGTTTGTTTTGAAGAGCAGATGGATTAAACAAATGTGTGGTACTTTGGTGCTGAATAATTGCCATGCCAAGGCCTTTACATGTTTGTTTGTTTTTGTTAATGGCATGTCGTTTGCTGTAGTTTGAAGAGCTGGTCATCATATTGGAGGGTTTCCACATCGTTTCTGAAGATTCATGCCTTTATAAAACTAGATCAGCTTAAATCAGTGGTTCCCAACCCTGGTCCTTATCTGACACATCTGGTCTCACCAATGAGCTGATGAGCTGAACCAGGTATGATGGGACCCTCCAGGAGCTGGGTTGAGAAGCACCATGGTTCTTAGTGGTCCACCCCAAAGTGTGGGCTCTTCCGTTTAAGTCTAAGGGAGTTTTTGCTCCCTTGTCTCTCAGTATGAGTAAACATCACATGAACTTGTCAGTCAAATCTTCTTTTCAATGCCACTGGAGTGGTGTCGCTTTGTGAACTGATTTTGTAGGGGATGTTTTCAAAAACACAACCAACCCTCCCTCGCATGGATTTTTAGGATGCGGATACGACCGCAGGACGGTAGATCGGCTCCATGCATCTCCATCTGCCTGAAGAACTGAAATGTTTTACATTCCTGTGTCAGCATGGAGCGGATAACAAGCTCTGCAGCTGAAGCCGGAGAGATACCAGAGGCATGTAATCCAGCATTAGGCCAGTTCCATGTAGGTTCGCTACGGATGACGCAACTCATTCCGAATTGCTTCCCGTTTAATAACTCCAGTTTAGGATTTTCTCAAGGCTGTCAGACACTACCCTGACCCTTAACCTTTGACCCCATGAAGATTGTTTCATCCAGCATGACATGACATCTAAAACACTTATTAACACAACTGTCTCTCATATATGTGCTTTATCAACAAGAAATCAGACTGACATTTTGAAAATGGCTCATAAAAAACATTATTCGCATTCAGTTGCACACTTAACAAATACACTTAGAGGTTTAAGCTACAGGAAGTTTTTTCAAGAGTTTAACATTCCTTTCAGTCTATCCGAAGTGTGTTCAGATATGAATGGGATGAACAACATGTGGACACTGTCAGTCTTTCAGGGAAGGTTTAGGAGAACACACACGTACACACATATGCAGAGACGCGGGTCCCAAGTTGATATTTAAAATGAGGCCCACTAAATCCTCCTGTCATGATTAGTTTTTTTTTCTTTACTTTGCTACAGCAGCTTTTAGCTTCACTAGTTCTTTTAAACATTTTTTTCCTTTTATGATGGCCTGAAAGTGGGCAGTCAACTCTGACCTGAACTGTCTTTCTCTGCAGCCTTCATTGAATCTGAGTGTTTAAAGTCAACATAAAATGCTGCTTCAAATCCATTTTACTCTCGTAATTTGAAACTTTGCATTCAACAAGAAGAAACTATCCAGCAAGAACTGATTGTCTTGTGAAAAGTGGCCTCTATATGACTTTTTTTTATTTGCAATAAATAAGCAAGAGATTTGAATGTATTTTACATAAGGTGCTGTTCTTACATGTACATTTACTTACATTTGCATACAGTACACTGACATATGCACAACTGGCGTATTGGCAGATTAAAAAATATATATTATTAATATTAATTATTATTTTTATGTATGAACTTTGCATATTTACAAATGTGTACAAATCCTTATTTATATATATTAAAATCTTGGAATTCACATTTTTATAGATTGTTGAACAAGAATACACTTTAAAACCTTAAAATGAATAACATTTCTGTAATGTTCAGAATCCATACAATTTTGAGGACAAATTAAAGCACTATTCAGTGATCTTCATCTCCGTCCATCCACAGCAGCGACTGTAAGGGACCAAAACCTGCCGCCTCGAGAAGCTTTACGACAGGTTTTACTGCAGTGATGGCTGTTTGAATGAGAAATGCGCACCTTCACCGAGTGGATCAGGATAATATTTTCAGCGATTAACGATCTAAATTCTGCTCTGTTCCTCACACTAGACCAGTGGTTCCCAATCCTGCACTTTTTAGATGTCTCCCTAATCAAACACACCCAATTCAACTCATCAGCTCATTAGTAAAAACTCTAAGACCTCAAATGTGTGTCAGATAAGAGAGACGTCAAAAACGTGCAGTGTTGGGGTTCTTCAGGACCAGGATTGGGAACCACTGCACTAGAATATTGTGTTCTGCCAGAGAGGACCGCGACTGCAACACATCGGCATTTGGACTACTTTTGGTACTGCTTCTGAGATTCTCACAATAAATAAAGTATTGTGATTACACTTGTCATGTTTTTCTTTATACTGTACATATTTTAAAAAATGGTTTTGGTTTAGTGGTTGGAGTGAGATAAGCAAAAAAACTTCTGAGATTCTCACAATAAATAAAGTATTGTGATTACACTTGTCATGTTTTTCTTTATACTGTACATATTTAAAAAAATGGTTTTGGTTTAGTGGTTGGAGTGAGATAAGCAAAAAATGTCAAAATATCTTTCAGTGCTATATTGTTACTAAAATTGTCATTGCAGATCTACATATTTCTGTCCATTGAATATTATTTTTTATATTCTCTACAAAGTGGTTATGTTTAAGTTTTTATGTTAAGGTATCTTGGAGAGGTGAGGTGTCCAAGTCGCAACATCTTCCTACTGGGGTGCCTCAGGGCTCAGTACTTGGACCACTTCTCTTCTCTGTCTACATGGCATCACTAGGTTCTGTCATTCAGAAACATGGCTTTTCATATCACTGCTATGCTGATGACACTCAACTCTACCTCTCATTCCATCCTGATGATCCGACGATAGCTGCTCGCATCTCAGCATGTCTAACAGACATTTCTTGTTGGATGACGGACCATCACCTTCAACTCAACCTGGCTAAGACAGAACTGCTTGTGGTTTCAACAAACCCATCACTTTATCAAAATTTCACCATCCAGTTAGGCTCATCAACCATAACTCCTTCAAAAACAGCTAGAAACCTTGGAGTTGTGATTGAGAGACTTGTCATTTGCACTTATATATTGTTGCTCTTTTGTTAGTTTTGACTGCTTTTATTGTCCTCATTTGTAAGTCGCTTTGGATAAAAGCGTCTGCTAAATGACTAAATGTAAATGTAAATGTTTAGGTTTGGGAGTAGGGTTAAGGTAGGGGTGTCAAACTCAGTTCCTGGAGCGCCGGAGCCCTGCAGAGTTTAGTTTAAACACACCTGATCCAACTAATCAGGTCCTTCAGGCTTATTTGAAAACTGCATGGTGTGTGTGTTGGAGCAGGATTGGAACTAAACTTTACAGGGCTAAACTAAACTCTCCAGGAACTGAGTTTGACACCCCTGGGTTAAGGGATCTAAAATGTATCTATAACATCGTAAAAGTGAATCTATCAAATATCTTTATAATATTAAAGATTTGTGAAGAATATTTTAAGTTTCTTTAGCTGTAAATATGCAATAATGTTTACATTTTAGATGCTGTCAATAGATCCATATCGTACATTTTAGCATCTATGCAAAGAACAAAAATGTACATTTTGTACCTATATATGTTATGTAGTAATCCCTATGAAAAAAATTAGACCAGGCTGTCCTCCTTAACATTATCTTGTAAGGTGTTGTAAAATGTTATAGTGTCAATGATCATCAGTAAAAATCGACAGCTACTAACAAGCAGTAAAAGCAGCCCTGCAAACATCCCTCCCCATTATCATTACCATTATCACCAGACTAACACAAATCACTCTTCCTTTCCTCCTTTGTTTTCACTTCTCCACCAATCTCAGCCCACCCATGGCTTTTTATTCCATTCTTTTTAAATTCATCCCCTCATCTGTCCCTTTGACCCAAACTCAATCCATCAATTCCCCCATCTGATTCAGCATGGCCCCTGAGGCACATTCTTTCTGAATACCCGCATCCACGTGTTTAGGCTGCCCGTCTTCAGAGTCTGAGAGCTTCGATGTGAGAATCTGATAAGTGTCCAGTCTGCCAGACATCACATCACGCCTCAGAGTCTTCACTCAGCATGACATCACACATAAGGGCCATTCACAGACAAATGTAAAGACTGTAAGTTTGTGTATGGTAAACACTTAAAGCCATTATCTTGTGCAAGACAATGTAGACGGAAAGTATGAACGTTGCTTGCTTGTGCAAAAGCCTCTGTTATGATGCAATGCCATTACTAGTGTTCTGGTGGCATATAGACGATAAATAACATTTAAAAAATACTTGTACAGTGGACCGAAGGTTTCTGGACACTTTAGTCACAAATTATTTTCTCAGAAATATATTCATTTATCTGAATTACAATTATTTACACATTGATGGAGACAGGGTCATTTTAGTGAGTATGAAAAGTTCCCCTCAAGTTCACACAGCAGAACATCAACAGATGTAGTCTTTACCTTAACAAAACTTATCTTCATTTTAACACTATATCTATTGTTCTATCATTTCAAAAATAAGCATTTTTGCATTTTTTGAAACTTCATTCTGCGATAACTTGCTTGCAAAGTATATAGTGTCTAAAAAGACCACTATATGTCCTGAAACAACAAAGATTATATTTTACCTCCATATTCAATCATGGTGAATGCTCAGAAAACTTCAATACCCTGCATTACAAAAGTTTTGATTAGAAATGACGCCGTATATCTCTTACCTGACAGAAGCTCCGCGGCCCCGAGGCGCACTATCATGAGTAACAGAGTCAGTACGTTCGACCCGCTCATTCTGTTGTTCGGTGTCGTGGCGCTCCAGTTCGGTGTCGGTGTCGAGTGTGAACCAGTGACGGATCGCATCATCATCGCATCGCTCCAGACTGCGCTTCAACTCTCCACAAATGAGCGCCACATCTTGGGCAAAGACAGATTCCTTAGCAAAAAAAAAAAGAGAAACTCGAATCCTCAGGTTTAAAATAGCAGCTTGTCAAGTTGTCCCCAAAATTGTCATCTGCTGAAATCTGTTTCCAAAAGCAGCACAAGCAGTTAATTCTTCCTTTCTTCTTTTTTAAATTCTTTTTTCCCCACTTCTTTCAGCTCAAAAACATTTTAGTATAATCCTGAACGTGAAGTAGGCTGTAGAAATGCCAAAAGCCCAACCAGAGCGGTGTTATTTTTGGAATCATGACGCGTATTTTTATGTCAGAATTTCCTTTTGCCTCCAAAACTCCTCTCCCATCAGGACACCTTTATTCCCCCTCCAGACAAACTCACATTCCTCCACTCAACTTTTGTCCATTCTGTCTTTCTCCTCCCCTCCTCCATCCCTCCCTCCTGTGCGCCTCCCTCTCGCAGCTCCGACACACAACCCCTTCACATAGTACTAGTAGACTTAACTAACCCTACAGACCAGCTAAACATAGACAGCATATGAGACACAGACGCTCACAACACGTTTTCTTAAAATTTGACTGAAATTTTCTAAGGATGTGTCATTTTAGTAATGGCTTGAAAGTTGCCTGAAAACTTAAAGGTGACATATCATGAAAATCGGACTTTTCCAGGTTCTGAGTGCTATAATCAGGATCTACCAACCAAGGAAACGTGAAAAAGATTAACCCAGTAACTTTGTTTTGGGAAGCCTTTTTCTGCAAGCGTCTGAGAAAACAAGCGCGTCTGATTTCGCTCCCCTAGTGATGTGGCAAAGGGATCTCATTATAATATTACCACCCCTTAATCTGTAAGTTTACACCCACGGCGCCGTCATTTGATTTCGCAAGCGACAACGATGTAGCAGCTCTAATGCCGTGGTGAAAGTTTGAGCAAAACACGCTAACTGTTCTGTGTTTGACTGCACAGACGTGCACAGAACACTGTTTAGAGTCCCAGCCTCAGAGGAGACAACAGAGCAGTGCATTTATTGATTTATTTACTGTATATTGCTGCTGCCACACAGATCTAAAATAAACATGCGATTTATTTCCCAGCTGTTTACCTTCACAGACATAACCGAACGTTTTTGTAACTCGTGTGTTTTTAACATAAACTTGTGTGTGAATGAGAACTTAGTTTAGTACTCACATGCTGTGACAGCTGCTTTCTGTGCATGAGCACTCAGAAAACCGTATATCAGAAGTTTAAACTAATATGGTTTAAAACGCATGATTTCAGCGTGATAAACATGATAATCAGAACCAAACAGATGTTTTTTTAGCATGTACTAGCAGCACTATTCTGGAAAAGGGGGCGGGGAGCAGCAGCTTATTTGCATTTAAAGAGACAGACTCAAAAAACAGCGTGTTTCTGCTTCCACTCAAAATAGGCATTTTCAAAATGTTATAATACATCATCTGTGGGGTATTTTGAGCTGAAACTTCACAGACACATTCTGGGGACAATGTGAGACTTATATTACATATTGTAAAAAGGGGCACAATATGTCTCCTTTAAAGAATGGCTTTAAAAAGTTTGTTGAGAGAACTTGTTGGTCAAAGAAAAGCCCTATTTTGTGTATTTTGTCTTCCAATATGCAATCCCAGGATGCACCTAATGAAGTTGACTGACAGAATGTAAAATGTGCAGATGGTGTCTAAGCAAATAATCACTATGTAAGTCCTATATTTCGAGAAATAATGAGTCATCTAAACTTGTAACTGGTAGTGCATATCTGTGCAGAACCTGTTTAATCTGTATGAGAGAATGTTCCTAAAATGAATTAATAATTTTTCAGTGTCTGTTCTATTCTAATTAATTGCATTTAATTTAATTGTAAATTTATTAGGATTTTGTCACTTTTTATTTCTATTGATGTAAATAAAGATCTTTGGAATTTGAATTAGAATCACATAAAGGTTTTGAAGGTGTGATATTTTTATAAATGATATTAATGTGTGGAAACATGTTTGAAAACACAACTACTCACTACTTGTAAGCTAAAAGTAATACAACTAACTTTTACACAAAATGAGCATCTTTTCTCAAATGAGGACATCTAAACTCACACACACACACAAAGTAGTTTGTGTGGCTCTCAGTGTATATTCTCTTGTTTTCTTGGTTGTTATGTCACTCTCGTTGTTATGTCTGCGGGTGAGTTTGTATAGTGTGTTCATACAGGACTCAGGAGAGATGATAAATGTCAGTGAAGTTTGTTTGGGTGAATGCAGAGAGAGTGTAGGATGGGCAGGATTCACGCTCCTTTCATGAATAATTGATTCCTGCTTTTCCCCATGAAAACGCAAGGGCTGTTGCTGTGCTCTCAGGTTTCTCGGGATGGAGAGTCCTCTGGCCCTTTAAGAGGAGGTTTGAGGGGTCCATGCAGAGTTCCCAGGGTCTTTAATGGAGACAGAACCCATTTGAGAAAGACCCCATTGTGTCCTTGCTTTTCAAAAGAAACCAAGGAATCAAGCTTTCTCTCTCTCTCTCTCTCTCTCACACACACACACACACACACACACACACACACACACACACACACACACACAAATACACAGACAGAGACAGGTGAGATAAAGGAGGCAGAAAGTATCAAACATGGTCTTAGAAGGATGAGAAAGGAAAAAAAAAAAGCTAAATGGTAAGAATGAGGAGACTTTGTTTGGGCAGACAGAGAGGGTAGTGTGGGTGGGTCAGGTTAATATGAGAGGGAACTGATTAAACTGCCTCAATAAACTAGTCAAACAGGCTAGACCCGGTCTGCCTCAAATCACATACGCTGACTGTCATTTCATTAGAAAATCAGTTACAGAGTAGACTGACCGCAGAAGTGAAGAAAAAACTCAACAGGTCACTTTTCATAGTTCAGTTTTTTAATTAAATCTTGTGAAAAATGGTTCGTCAACAGGGTTTATGTACCAGAGGTCAACAATTCAGATGACCTGGTGATTCGGGACATTTTATGTAACTCTCACTTTGCCCTGCTGTGCTGTCATTTTATGTTCACTGAATATTTGTGTGACATATTGAATGTTGTTTGCTCAATTCTGCTAAGATAAATATGTTACTAGGGTATCTGTGTGTGTGTGTGTGTGTGTGTGTGTGTGTGTGTGTGTGTGTGTGTGTGTGTGTGTGTATACAATATA